ACCCCTCCAATGCGCGGCGATTCATCACCTCCGATTCTTCGTACCTCCCTTGCTCCCGCAGCACCAAAGCCAGGTTGTTGACAGCCGTCAAAGTATTAGGGTGGTCTGGTCCAAAACATTTCTCGTATCCCTCCAATACGCGGCGATTCATCGCTTCCGATTCTTGGTACCTCCCTTGCTCCAACAGCACCAGAGCCAGGCTGTTGACAACCGTCAAGGTATTAGAGTGGTCTAACCCGGAAGTGTTTTCCAAGTCCTTTAGCGCCTCAAGAAATATCACCTCTGCCTCCCTTGCCCTTCCTTGGTACCAGTGCAACGCTCCTAAAAGTGTATTTCGAGAGATGCTCTCACCGTCCCAGTCTCGTTCTTTATCTGCCTCTCGAAGAGCAAGGCATTGGCGGACTTGAATCTCGGCATTATTATAGGAGCCCATTTCCATATAATGCGTTCCCATGCGGTAGATAAGGTCCTCGGAAATTGTATCCGTTGAATCCCTAGTTAATACTAGTGCATGAGACATGTAAGCCGCACAAATATTCCGCCGTTTGTACTCATACTCAGGGAACATCCTTGACACAGCCTGCAGTCCAGCAATCCTCCCCTGATTGGCCTGTTCTATTGATAAATATGCCTGAATGGAGAGTTGGACCAAACGATGAAGCTCGTAAAAGGTTGTGCCTTCAAGTTTGACCTCCGTAACCAATGAGAACCTCGATAGTGTCCCAATCGCCTGACAAAACTTAAGCGAGTCATCCATGCCCACAAGTCCAGAATGAATCAGTAGCTCCTCGGGTATGTATTGACGATCAAGGGATGCCATTAGCCCGAGAAGTTTCACCATTAGGGGTATCTTTTCGGTGATTCTGTCAAAGGTGATGAAGTAAGTTCCGAGGATACTTTCGGTCATGTCGACCTCTCGCTGGATATCGTAAAACTGCTCCGAAAGTAGCTCTTTTGTTCGTTTATCATTCTCCTGGAAAATCGACCAGTAGGCGGAGGGCGATGTCCCATTCTCAGCCATGAAAGCTGCGGAACCGACAACCGCCAGTGGTAGATGATCCATCGAGTCTAATATCCTCGAAACAGCCCCTTTTTCCACGTCCCCCAAATCGTGCCAACCATCAAAGCGTTTTGAGAACAGATCCTGGGCCTCTTCCGGCTCCATCTTATCAACCTTAATAATTTTACAGCCCTGTCGGATTGCCACCTGCCGAGATCTGGTCGTGAATAACACGGTTCCTTCACGCCCTTGTGGCACAAACTTGGAAATGGGGCTAGTGCTCCCAATAAAGTCGGCTTCATTGTCGGCATTGTCTATAACTAGGATCCAGTCACCACTTTCGGGACCTTCGAGCCATGTCTTTGCACGCCGGAGCAGTTCCTCTTCGTCCTTCTCAGTCCCCACCTGAGATCCCCGGACATGCTGTGCAATAGCCTTGAAACCCTCCGTAAATTTCAAAACCCCACTTCCCTGCACCCAAAAAACATGACAGCGCCCCTCACTGGAATGCCGGTAAACATGCTCTAGAGCAATCTGGGTCTTTCTAAGTGGCATTAGTAAATCTCATACAAGTACAAGGGAACACCAAATACATACCCACAACCCCCCAACCCATGAAGTGCGACTCGGTTATGAGCCGAACCTTTGCAAATTTCTTTTATCGACTCAATGAGATTCTCACGGCCAGTAAATGTGCCATTCCTGCAATAGGGAACCATCCAGTACGGCCTCGATGCATCTCCTGGTTCTATTAGCACGTCAGCTTCTAGAGAGATATCCGCGGAGAAACTTTAATACCTCCACCCCTTCCCCTCATTGCCTGCGCTTCACTTGTCCCTCCTGGGTTTGTCATGTCGCGGGGCATCTGCATACTAAAGATAATGTTGCCATTGCCAATAATATTGCGGTTACCCGAATTCCCGCTGAAGTTCCCGTCAATAGCGGATCGCACTTGACTACTCCTACAAAGATTATTAGAAGTGCGGCGTAGAAGGATAAGGATACCCACCCATCCATCGGCTCAATAATATTTTTGGTTTACTGGGAAGCTATATTTGAAGGTTGGATACCGTGCTAGCAAGCTGTACTCGGGTCTCGTAGCTCGCTTGATTGAAGCCAAAATGGCCGCCTCCTGGTTATTGATCGAAGTAATCGAAAACTATCCTTTCCCTAGCCAACTTGAAAGAATATCGTAGGTCGATAGGGAGGTGGTGTGCTCGACCGTAGGTCTAACCCCGGATATGGAAATGAATACGATAGCTCCTCGGTTTGATTTTGTTGTGGGCTGGAATCCTAACAGGCGGTGCTAGAGTCTTGTACGGTAAGGGTCGAACATTTGGCGCATACAGGCCTTATATGGAGGTGGGAACCTAGAAATAAGAAAACAGAAGCAAGGGCCGGACTGGGCAGGATAGGGTTTAGAACGAGGAAAAATCAAAATGTATGTCGTGTTTCACCCCATATTTAAATTTAGACCTCATTAACCACGGACAAGCGATTGGTCCGGCTTCGGTTGGGATCTCGACTAGGGAAAGTTTAGCCGCGAGTATTCGGGTGGATGTTCACTCTTTTCCGCCAAACATGCGAAGAGCCCCACAACCGTGAAGCTGATTCCTACAGCACCTAAGACTGCCGGTAAAGCACGTGAGCAAAAGTCTTGGTGAAAATGGTGCATAAGCGAAGATAATGCAATAAGACGCCCGATGAGCGCCTCCTAAACCTTATCAAAACAGCCACTTCACTTTATCTCACCAAAGCGAACCCCTCAAAGCAGGCCCCCGCACGTAGCTTACAAGTGCGATACCCCAATAAAACAATTTCCATCATTCAAATAGCTGGCGAGTACCCATTCTAGATCCAATCCAACTTGCAGATTGGGGTCCTCTCCAGGCATCTCTGGTTTCCAACCAAAGCTTCCGCTTCCATTTCCATGCCCACTCAGGACCCGCTTACATCCGATGCGCTGCCAGGGACCTTTCCTCTAAAAGCCACTAGATCCCCTTAGCCTGCCCCACATACCGGTGTCGATCCTCCCTCTTCGGGATCCGTTATTGGATGGTGTGTTGCGCGTGCCGTATCCTACCTCTTTACCGTGATAATGATCCGTTGTTACTCCTGACTATAACCCGGTAGAGAGTTTACCCGATTGCGATTTGCCTAATGCTCTCGAGAGAGGATATCAAAAAGCGGAAAGACCAAGACCAATAGAGATGAACAAAAGGACCGGTGTCTATTCCATAATTGCCATGCGTGGTTCGCTCATCTAACTGGTGGTTGTGGCTTGTTGCGCAAGTACGTGAAAAAAGTGCAGAAAAACATGCAAGGAAAGCTATCAACTACATGATGATTTGTGGGTGTGCAACCCCCCCCTCCTGACTGCTAAAAATACCCTATGGGGTTACCCTATGCCACACCGGTATAGCAGGTACAATCTTGGCTCCCGCTAGGACAAAAACCGCCAAGTGTTCAACGCTTTGGACAATGGTACTCGGGCACCTTGCCTAGGCCGTGGACGGAATCTCGAAGGGATGGGAATTATATATAGGCCGTATGCAGATGCAAGTAAATTACAATTTTCTAGCCAGCCCGCCAAACTCAAATATTTTGTTACCGAGCTTGCTTCCAAGCACAACTCCCGTGTCCACCGATTTTGCGGGTCCCAAGTACAGTACACGTCTACCCCGACACCTCCGGCACCTTGAAGAACCTGTTGGGTCAGGAACTACCATATGGCCTATCATACTCGTACTACAATAGACAATCACCACTGTATCACGCAGATTGATACCGCCAATCTCGCAGATCTGAGCAGGGATTCTAAGTACAAGGTGGAACTGTAGTATCAGCCTGATATCAACCAGCCTCCCATTCCAGCGTCGCTGAGTCATCATATAGATTGGGGGCCTGCCTGGTTCCCTACAATAGCCAAATAAGATCATTGATGGAGTCTGGAGGGTGATGGAAATTGTGTGGATTATTGTCATAGGAATGAGGTTATGTCGTGGTTGGCCTAGTAGTACTGGAAGGCAGGGTCAACCAGTTCCAGGGAACACATCAGATCTACCTCCGCGCACAAATACGGAGACCCCATGGTAATCCATTCTGCAATGTTGCCATTACATGTACCCAACTCCCACATTGAAATTCATTGGAGATGCGACACCAATACCGACCGGTTTGATATAACCCAGACCACACAAATCGCCCCTCTGGCTTCAGACCAACCCGGAGTATAACTCATCATTGTCTCAGCCCCTCGCACAAATGTCAGACAACAATACAATGATATAGTCAGTTCTTTGCATCAGCCGGATACAGTGCAATACCAACGACACGGTGGAGGCTAAGCATAGCATGTCAGAGGCAAGATCCCGGGGTAAACAAAAATAGGAGTAACCAAAGAACGGACTCTAGAAAGCCGCTTCAGAGATTAAACTGAAAATAGATACTACTCTTGATCTAAGCCTGTTCCATAGTCAGTACCGCTTGAATTGGACGGCGGCGGATGTCGCGGGGGACTCACCAAAAGGCAAAGAGAGCTTCGGAAAGAAGTGGAGAAGGAGGTGGAAGTGGTCGGCTTAAATAGGCAACTGCGGGTGTGCCAAGAAGTTTGAGTTTCGCCGCTTCTGGGGGTTAGGGGGGGGGGTGGAGGGCGAAACTACAGAGTAGAAAACGTTATGATTGAAACAATGCTAACACGATCCGCCCTAGCAGCGATTGATTCCTTTACGCTACTTCTCTAAGTTTTAGTTTCTCGGCGAATGTCCCCCACATAACCGGGCGCCCCGCCCGAGGCACATAAAATCGATCCCCAAAGGCAACTATTGTGTCAATGACTTGGTACAAGTGGAAACACAACTAGCAAAAGTAGGCGTGGATGAAAATTACATATGTTGGGAATAGACACCCGTGGGACGTTGAAACCCATAATAAAAGGTGATATCATACTAGCAAATTTGGACTCACTGGAGCTAAACACATCCGCCCTTCCCGAGGGAACTCTCTGTGGACTCTGCTCACCTTGCAGGGATTGGTGATCTGTGCCAGATATCGCCCGTGAAACAACAACCTTCCACCTTCGAACAGAGTGTAACTACTAGTTCAATCTTGAGCATACCCAAAGTTCGGCTTTGGACAGTCAAAGCTTTTGTGGAACACAATGTGAACTCATTTATCTTGTGCGCACTGCGCAAGCTGTGGTGCTAAAAGAGGAGGACCAAAAGAACAATCACATCCACTTTTTCTCTTGAACTCCTTCTCAATGCGGGGCAGAGGAATTTGTCGGGTAGCAGCCTATAATATAAAGTTTGCCGGCGACGTCCACTTCATAACCCTAACCCCACGGGAGAGAGCCCGACTAGTGCTTTGGGGTATTTCCAAAATTATCTGTATCCAAGTGCAAGCTCACCGCAGCTAGTTTTACTCTAGCGGTTTTTTTTCTTTCAATACTCTCTTTGGCACTTTGGTAGGTCAGCTATAGCCTCCCGGTTATTTCTAGGCCTGCCATGGAAATTAGGCAGATCAGGTGCGTTGTTTGCCCATCCTGGATTAAGCCCTGAAATGGCTCTCCGGAGCCTGTATTCCCACTATCCCTATGTTTTCTTATGATCCTCCGGCGGGTCTTGTCCCTTGGCTTCTGGCATGCCGTGACTGACCCTCCCAGCGCCGCGAGAGCTTCCATCTCCTGGTGATGCTATGGCTCATAGGCTATCGCCCTGTCGCTCTGGAGGCAGCCAAGACTCGTAACTTGTGTACCTATGTGTCAAATAGGTCAAATCCCACGAATATCTCTAAGCCATGATACCCATTTCAGTTTCAGTTCACTGTAGTAGTTATCGTTCCCGGATTTCCTCCCTCAATATATCGAGGGCAAAGGTGTACTAACATCCGAATATATTATTGGGACTCCAATGAAGAGTAACAATCAAGATCACTAGTTCGGGCTCGAGATAAATCTGAGTAAGGTAATGAAACTAGATCCAGCAATTTCCCCCAAGCCCAACCTAGCCAAAATTTGGTACCGGACCCATTGCTAGCAGGAAAGTATCCCAGAATTAAGGGTCATCAATTCGGTACTATCAGCAAAGTGCTGCACCTAGTTGGACCCCTCGTTTCAGTCGGGATGCTTAAATAATATTATATTCATGATTATGCAATGTTGTGTCAGTGGCGAGTGATTGCACATGATTGGTCCCTCCCCAAGAACCCAGAGGGGGGGGGCACTTTGAGTAGCTCGAATGCGAATGGTATGTCAATGTATATATAAAATGCCCAACCTTTGACGCCACGAGACTACCATGCTAGGAATGTCGCGAATTCCCTATACTAGTCGTGCGAGTACTCTACCAGATGGAGTTAGGGAGTACTGTTTCAACAGACTAGCGGCAGACAATTTATTGTATCATACTCGCACAGTCCTTAAGCCATTTTCCTCGGCCTCTCTGTACATCTTATTGAGAGAACCGATCTCGACCGCCAACCACTACTGGCCCCTCAGTGTCCCCCCCTCATCCCCAGCACATGGGTTTGCTTGGATACTAAAGTACCTCCGCAAAAGTGTTGGTGAAATGGGCTTTTTACACCAAAAACATTAATTTTTCACCACTGGTAGTTTAGGAACCACAAAAGATTTTACAACCTGACTTCTGGTATGTAGTTACAATAATCCCACCCTACTCCTACCCAACTCTTAATAACTTTGGGGAAGAATTGGTGAAGT